GGTGTCTTTTTACTCCACTTCTGCGGCAGAGCAAAATCAGGTGCTGATGGGTGTGGGGCGTTCCCCAGATGTTCATGTCTGATTGCGCCCTTTAAATCTGCCTGGCATTCGCGCCTATGGCACAGCTAATTGTGCATGTGATCGTGACCCTAGAAAGCTTTTTGCACCTTTTTGGTGCATGCTGATGGGCAACATGGGGATTATAGATGACCATGAATGTTGAATCTTGATCATAGAAGTTGTTCCAGATCACATGCTATTCAATGCTAAGCATGCTTATTCAGAAGTGCCATTGAGCTAATCAGGACTTACTCCCTAGTAAGTGTGTTTAGGATCACAGCTTTCATCTGGATTTAACTTTTTGTTTTTAATGATTTCATGTATCACATTGTTGATCCATCTGGCAAATGTTGGTGGTGACTCTTGGTGGCATAATTCAATCGAGACACCATCTGTATGCAAAATACTTTGAAAGTCACCAGAAAGTCTGAATCCTGATTAGTAGAGAGTTATTTGTATTTTTGTTTTATGCAATAATGAGCAGGAATATTTGAAAGTTTATATTTGCAGGAAGGATTTTTATTAGATAACACAGAGATATACATAAAAGATAAAAGCAGTAAAGGCTAAATCAAATAATCTAACCCTCAAATTATCTTCAGCCACCCAGAATGGGAGATGTAGAATTCAGAGTCGAATCTGGGGTTCTTCCAGGGTTGTTGTTTCATTGCGCAGAGGTGCTGGTACACACCTGCAGAAACTTCTTTAATGGTTTTTTTAAAAACCCACATTTTTGGCACACAAGAGCTTAGTTTTGAAAAAAGAGTTTTAATTATTTGTATTTTGCTCATACACTTTTGTGAAATGTAAAAAAGGTGCAAAAAAGCCCTTCAAAACCTCCTGTTTTGCTAATATAGAGAAGTAACAAAAATGAATGAAATATTTTTTCATATACAAAATCTGTTATCAGTTTTCCAAAATTCTTCTTTCTTGCCAAAAGATAACTGGTGTAGAACCCAAGGCTCAGTGAAACCACAGAATAATAATGCAAGGGAACTGCAGGATGCCACCACCCTATCCCTACCCAGAATGCATATCCAAGAGCTTTTACTGCAAATGATTTTGAAATCCTAAATTCCATGGGTTAGCAACAGCAGCTGCCCCACTCCTTTCTCTCTGGCTGCCTGGTATCTTCCTTCTTGAAGCAGAGTGTCCACTACTTCTTGCCATCACTTGTTTTGTCTGCAGTACAACAAAGGAGAAAGAAGGAAACATTAATTAAATCCAGCTACACAGCTGCATCCCAGTCTAGCTTAACATAACTAGTGAGAGATCTCTGTATTTTCTCTATTAACGATGAATTTTTGCATAACTACATTTGACTAGTATTTCCAGTATTTCATGGCCCCTTGGCCCTGCTGGTCTTGTTTACTTTTTTCAGGCTGAATCTCCCTTACTACACAGGTCTCAGTTTACTAATTCCATATGCTATTCTTTCAGCGGCTACTAAAGCAGCCTCTGCTCAAAGCTCCATAGGGTTGCCAGCTCTGGGTGGGGAAATCCCTGGAGATTTGGGGGGTGGACTTCCGGTTTATGGCGGTGCACTAGCAGACTCACCTCCCGGACCTCCTGGGGGTGAAGCTGCTCTCCAGCCGAAGAAGGGGGTGCGCAGGCTCACAGACCCCACCAGGGGCCCGGTGAAGGGACCCTGGCCATGGAACTTTTAAGAGGTTGCCTCTTCGAGGGCGGAATGCCTGAGAATTGAGGCACCTCTTCGTTCCGACGGTTCTCCGTGCTGTGAGACCGAATGGGCTTAGTGACGCTGACCGGGCCGAGTGCAGGAGATCACACGGCAGAAACGAAATGAAAGCGATGTCGAATGACTGATTATGAATGTGAGTCAATTTTGTAGCATTTAAAGAGGAAAAGATAGCTCCCCACCCCACCCCACTGAACGGGAGAAAAAAGCAAGCGGGGGAGGGACGCCTCCCATGCGCATGAATTTTTGAGTGATTGAGGGGGGGAGCGGAAGAGAACGCAGAAAAAAACTGCCTAGAAGTACTTAGCTAAGCGAGTCTAAGCGGTCAAGCGCACATTCAGAGACTTTTTAAAAGTTTGCGAAAGTAAACAAACGATAAAGATGGCGGGGAAGAGGGACAAAGAAAGACTTTTGAAAACGAAACCGGAGAGTCCAAAAACGGAAACTACCAGTGAGACGGCAAAGGCTGTAGCTGACTATATGCGCCCTCTACTGGAACAGCTGAATAACTTCAAAGAACAGATGTCCGTGGTTACTCAAGGCATTACTGTACAACAAACTCAAATAAACGATTTAAAACAAATAATGAAGCAAGATGCTGAGAAGGTAAAGGAAGTGGCTTCAACTACGCAGAAAGTGAAGAAGAAAGTGCAAAAGTTGGAAAAGAAACAAACCTCCTCGGAAGATCAAATGCTGCAAGTCCAAATGGATAAGGCCAACATGGTCCTGCGCTTCCAGGGTGTGCCAGAGAACAGAGGGGAGAATCTTAAAGAACTGATGAGTGAGCTACTAGCCCCAGTAACAGAAATGAAGGCAGAATTGCTGCTCAACGATATGGATGTGGCTCACAGATCATACTCAGGATATATAAAGAAAAATAATCTGCCTGGGGAAATTGTAGTAAGATTCTCGAAGAGGCACGTCAGGGATGCTATCCTGAAAGCGGTTGCCGCAGCACCCCTGAAAGCAGGGGAGAATACCATCAGAACTCTAAAGGATATTCCATTTGAAGTAAGAAAACGCAGAAAGAAATATAAAGAACTTGTTCTTTTTCTTCAAACAAACTCAGTTGGATATAAATGGCTATTTCCAGAAGGCCCTTTTTACCTTTTTTCAAAGATAAAAAAGAAAAGATTGACTCTGTTCTGAAAGCTCAAGAATTCCTAAGGGATCAGTTGGAAAGACCAGAGGACAAGGAAAAAGATGAGGACAGCAAGTCCAGTGGCGAGCTAGAAACTGGTTCTTCTGGAGAGGACTCTCTGTCTGAGCAAGGGGCAGTAGCTCCAAAAAGTTCTTATAAGTTGCGGAAGAGAAGGGAAAAGAAGAAGTAAAGGCTGAAGGGACTCTGAATTGTGCCTTTGAGAACTCTGGTTTTGGGATGATTGGGGGTACTGTTATTAGACAGTTAAATTTAAACTCTAAGGGAAAAGGGCTATAAATGTTTGACTCAGTTTATAAAGGGATCAACGATGAGAAGACTTGATGTATCTAAGCTAGTTGAAGGATCTCCTCTCTTGGGTTTTTAGTTAGTAGTGGGTTCTTTACTTTCTCCTGTATATGTAGTTTTCCCACTCCCTTCTTTTCTGTTGTAGTTTTATCAATAAAAAATCCCCACCGGGGGCTTAAAAAAAAGAGAGAGATTTTTTGGGTGGAGCCTGGGGAGGGCGGGGTCTGGAGATGGGAAGAACTTCAGTGGGATATAACATCCTAGAGTCCACACCAGAGCAGCCATTTTCTCCGGGGGAACTGATCTCTGTTGCCCAGGGATCAATTGAACTAGCAGATCTCCTGAAGGTTAATACAAAAACTGAGGGTCACAGTATTGTTGTATTGATGTATTGTTTGGGGACTAGTGATAGTGATACTGACAAGGTGCTGTCTGAATGTAAACCTGTACTCAATGTATTGTTTGGGTGAAACATACTTTTCTCTATGTATTGTTTAGGTGAAATATATTTTTGATAATATTTGATACCAAACTTTAGATAACAGTGTTGAAAAATATAAAAAGAAAAAGAAATAAAGCATAAAATTGTTCTGCCATAAACATATATTTAGTGTATACAGTGATATATAATTTTGCATGGCCACCTGAAGGTTGGCAGAAGGATTTATGATGCATCATACGCATAAGGCATTAAACCATAGGAAGCAGAAGCATGGAGAAAACAGTCAGAGAGGATGAAGTTTAAAAAAAGGAGGATAGAGTAGTACAAGAAGAGGGACCTGGGATACTCGCGCGCGGGGGGGGGGAGAAGCTCCACGGGAGAAGGAAGCAGCCGCAGGTGAGCCTTCTCCCCTGTCCCCCATCCCCGGCACCCATGGCAAGGCCCATGCCCCTCCAAGCTTCCCCTGTCCCCTAGCGGTGGTAACAGCGGCAAGGCGGTTGAATGGTCCCCCTAAGGAGAAAATTTCCTGCATATAGAGCACTAACAGACTATTTCTAAGACCCACGATGCTGGTATATCACTGAGATCTGCATAACTAGTTGGTTCCTTATGTTCTTTCAATAGAGAAGAGCCGAACTTTCTCCCTCCCCCCTCCCCCGGTGGCGGGGAGGCCTTGCCGGCCTGACAAACTTTCTCCCTCCCTCCCTCTCTCCCTGGCAGCAGTGGTGAGGCCTCGCTGGCCCGCCAAACTTTCTCCCTCCCCAGGCGGCGGTGAGGCCTGAGCAGTTTACAGCCACCAGCCCGCCAAACTTTCTCCCTCCCTCCCCCTCTCCCTCTCTGGTGGTGGCGGTGGCAAAGCCGTTCTAAGAGCATTCCCTGCGCATGTGCAGAGGATGCTCTTTTACTTTTGGGGGGATTTAATTATCCCTCCTATATTTTTTTTACAGTTTTCAGATTTTTCTGCACACCTGGGCATTGCCCCACATGTGCAGGAAAATCTCCCTGCCCCCCAGGTGCCCCCGATGTGTGGATTTAGATATCCACATGCAGGGGGTGCCTTGGGAATTAGATATATAGATAGAGTCAGAAGAATGGAGGTGCAGGCAGAATTAAATTAAAATAGCTCTGGAGTGACCCTGCTAGAGGCTTCCTCCTTCTAAGAGTTTGGGTTTGTGATCTCTGAACTCAAGCAAAATCTCACAGAATCTGGATTATAGCCTGCCACACGAAAACAGTTTGGCTGAAAAAGGAGTACCATGCCACAGACCTCAACATGCAAGCTCTGTAGCATATCCCATAATAGTTCTATTAAATACCCCCTCCTATTACCATATGAATGGAAGAAACCTTACCATGAATTCCTGAAAATCTGTGGGAAACAAAAAGAGGAAAAATTCACTGTCACTGTCACGGCAAACAAGCTTTGGGTCATCACAAATGGGATGGGGCTATTTTCTAAAGGAGAATCTCTTGCCTCATTGCCTTTTCCAAAGCAGGGTTTGGCTTTTATTTCAGAAAAGGGTGGAAATGTCTGGAAATCCAGAACCCAATTTCAAACTGCAGGAGTAGTGGTGGAATAATACAGAGCAGTAAACAAGTACCGTATATTGGCAGTCAAAGCAAGCCACAAATCTGTGTCTTGGAGCAATGAGGTCAAGGTTTAAAAATGCTTTACTCACTGTATCATCTCTTAAAACACATACCTAATACTTTGCACATTGCCAGGTCATATAGAATAATATTACTCATACTACTCAAATAGTAGCCTATTTTTATTTATTATTTTTATTATTTATTATTTTTTATTTATTTATTTATTTTTATTATTTATTATTAGCCTAGTTTTATGTCAGGGAGCTGCGGTGGCTCAAGTGGTTAAGACGCTGAACTGCAGACTGTGGAAGGTCAGTAGTTCAGCGGTTCAAGATCCGGGTGCCGCAAGACAGGGTGAGCTCCTGTCTCTAGTTCCAGCTCCTGCCAACCTAGCAGTTCGAAAGCAAGAAATTGCAAGTAGATAAATAGGGACCACTTCGGTGGGAAGGTAACAGCGTTCCGTGTGCCTTGGTGTTTAGTCATGCCGGCCACATGACCACGGAAACGTCTTCGGACAGCGCTGGCTCTTCGGCTTTGAAACGGAGATGAGCACCGCAACCCTAGAGTCGGATTCGACTGGCTTTTGAGCAAGGGAACCTTTACCTTTACCTAGTTTTATGTCATCAGAAAAAGAGGTGGAGGTCATCTACATTTATATACAGTTACATCCAATAATATGTTTCTGTGTGTATAACATTTTAAGGAGGTCATTTTTCTTTCAAATAAATACAGTGATTTCAAATAGCTGTTTATTGAATTTCTCATTTTCATGAGTGCTAAGAATTCTAAATTAAAAAGCAAAGATGGTGATTCTGGTATAGACATCTGCTTCCATCCTGCATCCTCTGCGCTGCCATCCAAAACAGAGTTACGGATTTAGAAGTATATAACATTGCTTAGGATGGTACTGCAGATCTCTCAGTCTGGAACCCCTGTTTTATACAAAAGTAATGATTTTGTTCTACAACACAGCAAATAAGAATGCAGGTGATAAGCTGGGGAAAAGGTACTAACAGTTTTTTGATGCAAGGGTAGACCTCACATTACTCGGTCATTTTGTGTTCTTCCAATGGCTATCAACCTAGCAATCTGTCATAAGGAAATGGTCAAGCAAGATTCATGGCCTGTTGTTCAATACACAGAAGCTGGCATTAGGGTTGCCAGATCCCTCCTGTCCACCACTGGGGAGTAGGGGGAAGGGTTGCCAGCTCCAGGTTGGGAAACTCCTAGAGATTTGGGGGTGGAGCCTAGGGAGGACAGGGACCACAGTGGGGTACAATACCACAGAGTCCACCCTCCAAAGCATCCATTTTCTCCAGAGGAACTGATCTCTGTAGTCTGGAGATGAACCTGTAATTCCAGGGGATCCCCAGGTCCCACCTGGAGGCTGGCATCCCTAGCACTCAGAGATATATTGTCTCTAAATGTTAGGTCATTAGAGTCCATCAAGATAACTTACTGGAGATCTTGGCCATCCAAAAGCTTGCGGTAAGTCTCAATCTCCTGCTCCAGGCGGCTCTTGATGTCCATCAGGATCTTATAGTCACTGTTTTGACGCTCCATGTCGGATCGGAGCTCAACCAGTTGCCCTTCGATGTTGCCGATCAGACCCTGGATCTGGGCCAGCTGGGCACTGTAGCGACATTCCGTGTCTGCCAAGGTGTTTTCCAGTGCATTTTTCTGAGAAGAGAAGTTGCAGGGATGAGAAAGGGGGCTCAAGGGCCAAAGGAGAGTGCAACTTTTCAGGCATGGCAGAAAACTGGACTGGGGAACAGAAATGCTGCAATATTGACATTGTTTATTTGAACCTGATTCTATAACTCTATACACTTGCTTCTCAGTAATCTGCCAAAATCAATTAGATTATCTTTCAGAAGCATTGTAAGACATTTATGTGCTAGCCTTAGATGGCCAGGATTCATCTGGTGTTGTATTTTAATGTTTACTAGGTTTTTATTGCTACATTTTAACTGGCTCCTTCCCACTGGAACACACATTAAGCTGCCTTATACTGAATCAGACCATTGGCCTATAATAGTCAGTGCTTTCTACTCACACTGGCAGCGGTTCTCCAGGGTCTCAGGTTCTGAGGGTCTTTCACATCACCTGTTACCTGGTACTTTTAACTGGAGATCCTAGGGATTGAACCTGGGACCTTCTGCATGCCAAGCAGATGCTCCAACACTGAGCCACAGCCCCTATATTCTGTTCAGAAGATAAGTTTGGTAAAGTATATTGAATTCTAAATTGTCTTGGATAACTTTCTGATATATATATACTAGGTTTTACTGAGATTTTAATGTCCTCTGTTTTAATGTAGACCATTCTGTGTAAATCTCATTTTATTTATTTAGAGTACTTATAGCCCCCTTGAGCTCAGTTTTTGTGAGGAAACGTGCCCTTGTACATAAAATAATAAATGAATGAATAAATAAATAGGACTAGGCTCCAGACAAGTTAGTTATTCCACCGTCCATGTGTCCCCCCAAGAAAAGCTGAACCTTCTTGTTGAAAGATCTACTTATTTCAGCATCAGTGCTGCAGAGCACTCAGGTGTGGAAATACTGGTCGCCATTCACTTTACCATGCTAATCTGAGACTGGAGCTCAATCTCCAGGCCTTGGAGGGTGCGTCTCAAGTCTGTGATCTCCGTCTTGCTGGACTGAAGCTGTTCGGTGTTGACAGCAACTTCTTGATTCAGTTCTTCAGTCTGTATTAGGGGAGAAGATATTTATAAACCAGAGTATGATTTTGTGAAAGTGAACCTTCCCGAATGAACCTTCCCGAGCCCTGCTGTGAAATTCCCCCCCATCCGTTCTTTCTCACCTTGCTGGTGAACCAAGCCTCAGCTTCCCTTCTGTTCTTATCAGCCATCAGTTCATACTGGTCTCTCATATCAGCCAGGATCTTGGTGAGATCAATGCCTGGGGCAGAGTCAACTTCCACACTCACTTGGCCTCCAAGTTGCCCTGAAAGGGAAGCCATCTCCTGTAAAATAGAAAAGGCAGAGACATAAATTTATGATATATTTGTATAGCAATAACTCATTTTAAACATTACTATTAGAAGGGATGTCTGGTTGCTCAGAACAGCTAACCTAATATGTGGGTTATGTTCCATCAAGTTGCTTCCAATTTACAACAACCTTATGAATTAATGACTTTCAAAATACTCTGTCCTTAACAGCCTTGTAGGTTAGACAGATTGAATTAACAGTTCAGTTTCCTCTTGGTATTTACCCAAAGGCTTGTGCCTCAATGGGAAATAACCCCTTACTCCATCTTTCTCTCAAGACAATTGCTTCAATCTATGAAGTCTTATAATACCCTATTTCAAAAAATATCTTTCTAATAAATAAATGTAAAGGTTTCCCTTGCTCGAAAGCCAGTCAAATCCAACTCTAGGGGGCAGTGCTCATATCTGTTTCCAAGCCAAAAAGCCAGCGCTGTCCTAAGACGTTTCCATGGTCATGTGGCCAGCATGTCTAAACAACAAGGCACACAGAACGCTGTTAGCTTCCCACCGAATTAGCTTCCTATTTATCTACCTGCAATTACTTGCTTTTGAACTGCTAGGCTGGCAGGAGCTGGGGCCAGAGACAGCATTAGGGTCTTGAACTGCTGAACTACAGACCTTCCAGTCTGCAGCTCACTGTCTTAACCTCTGAGCCACCGCTGCCCCCTTCTAATAAATAGACTATTCCATAATTCCAATCATGTGAGTTGGGTCTCAACTACAAAGGTACAAGCAATTACTGAGGGAGACAGTAATCCTTGTTATGCCACTGTATGACCTTCATATCACTTAGTGCAGAACTGTCCTACATGAGGAGTGGTCCCTCTTTTCTTACTATCACTGGACATATTCCGATGCTGCCATGTTTCAAAAGATTGTCCTTGCTTTCTTTACCTCCTCATGGTTCTTCTTGAGGTAGGCAAGTTCCTCCTTCAGACTTTCGATCTGCAACTCCAGATCAGTCCTAGCCAAGGTCAGCTCATCCAGGACTCTGCGTAGTCCATTGATGTCACCCTCAACACTCATGCGCAGAGCTTGCTCTGTCTCAAACCTTTAAGAAAGCACAGCAAATGTATAGGAATCGCTAAAATCTACACATTGGTTTAAAAGTGCCAATAAAATTAGTCCTTTCTCCATGTTCTGGAGCCCGCTGGAGATAATTCTCAGGGGAGGGTCAAATCCTGAGTGGATGGGACCAGGAAGATTTTTATTTATTTATTTATTTACATTATTTATACTCCATCTTTCTCACCGGGACTCAAGGTGGATTACACAGTGTGAGTCAATGCAATCAAGAGGGAACATTCAATAAGCAATGGATTAAGATTTAGGTTGTAGAACCCACCAGATACATTTAAAGATACAAAATTACACAACAGGATCCAACCAGAACTACAGTCCCCAATGATTCATCCAAGTATCTCTGAAGCCTTTTGTACAGCACTACCCTCTTGCCTGCATAGAAAAGCCCTCTTGCGTAATTCAGTCTTGCATAGTTTGCAGAAAGAGCCTTCCCGACCTCCTCAGGCCGGCCGTTCCACAAAGTGGGGCCCACAAGGGAGAAGGCACAGGTACCGGCGTTGTTGATTTTGCCCATTTGCAGCTTGGCACCTGCAAAAGGCTCTGCTTGGATGACAGTTTAAATATTAACCAATGCTGGTGGTCTCTGAATGGATCTCTTATGACCTATTTGTTTTTTCAGTATCCCCTCACACTAATTTGGAAATGATTATGTATTTAAAGTCTTTCAAATTCTGTATTTGTGCAGGATATACTTACTTGGTTTTGAAATCATCAGCAGCCAGCCTGGCATTGTCAATCTGCAGGACAATTTTTGAGTTTTCAATTGTTGCATCAAGGATCTGGAAGAAAGCGAACAACACAGGCTTAGGATCATTTGTTTTCTATACAGATCTGTTAATTTTCTTACAGTGACTTTGGAGGTCAGTGCGTATAGTTTGTTTCACATGGCGGTATACATGGAAAGACTCATTTGTGTCAATAAGCTGAAATGACCTTCCAAGTTCTCTCGTTGTGTACCAGTACTGCAGTCCATCACATGCTTAACAAATCTGGGGGAAAAGTTGGTTCACCTATCCAGCCATATCTGCAACATGGACTTTGTACGGACCTTGCTATAAGATGGTCATATGGGCATCATTTGGTAAATGAAGACTGAGTGACGTATTAGAATAAGGATTGGTTTAGACTCCCAGTGCTGTACATTGACTGGTGCCTTTTTCCAGCTTGCAAGGGATTATGCAGATTCACAACTGATCATCACGAACACAAACCACTGCAAATTGGGTGCTGTCAATATGTGTTCCTGATTATTTATTTATTTACATGACTGTGTATCTTGCAATTTGGCCTTTAAAATAATCAACTGATCACCTATATAACAGCATCTAAGTATGTTCACCACTGTAACTGTAGGATCTTCATCGTGGTCTCTATGCATCACACTGATGGGATAGGCACCTGTGCCGACCCCGATCCAGGAAACTTCTAGCAAGCTCTTGAGGAGATGTGGGGCCCCTCCCTCAGGCATGCATGCACCTCTACCACGCATGCCCAGAGGGTGGGGCCCCATCATCCCACCAGTTCTCTCCTGACTGCCACGTTGATCAGTCGATCTGCTCTGGTCTGGGAACTTCTGGTGTGAGGGGAATTTTTTTCTCCTCAGCTTTTGCTCAAGGTATGAGAAGGAGCTGAAATTTTCATCCTGGGTTGGAACCAACCAGCTTTCTGCTGATTAAAATGGTGGATGGGGTCCCCATTAGCCACGCAAAAGGATTAGGCTGGGCATCATGGGATGTGCATTGAAAGAAGCCATGTGGAATAGGGGTTGTAGTAAGGAGGAGAATTCTCTGAGATTGAATAGGAAAGTGGGCTAGATCCAGCCCCTAAATCCATACTGGGAAGCATCCATATAAATGCACTGCTATCCCACTTCTCATGTTCTCTAGAAATATTCTCTAAGAGTGTGCCTTGGTGTGCCACATTCCTCTAGCCCCACCCTTGACCTACCAGGTACTGCCCTTGACCTCACTAGGAAGCCAATATTTTTAAAATAAAAAGTTGGCAATCCTGCTTGGGGTAGTGTTAGTCATGAACCCTAAGCCTGGTACAGGCAGGCAAGCATTTTCTTACAATAACTATTTGCTTCTCTGCTATCCTTGTGTGCCTTTCGGGTGTGTGTGTTTCCTTTATAAACAAATTGTGTGCTTGGCTGAAGCAAAATAAACCTTGATTGCCCACATACAGAAGAGATAAAGGTGCATTTAGTTCAGCCATCTATTATTCTCTTGTCATATTTCCCCCTCTTTAAATAATATCTGAACCACAGGCTCCTTGCTTTCATGTGCTTAAAGAAAACCAAAGAGTTCAGTGGAAAGTAAAGTGGAGTCCAGGACAAACAGTCCCGTGCTTGAATCCCAGTTCAGCTGTAAAGCCCCTAGGCAGTTACACTGAGTAAGAGAGGATATGCTAACAACTTTTCAAATATTCAAAAAGAGGAGATGGAACACTTTGCGTTTTATCCATCAAGGATAGCAAAATAGTAGAAGGGGAATAATAAAAACCTAATAAATATTAAAGGGCAACACCAGATGAATCCTCCTGACCTTCTAATGCCAGCACATAGATGTCTTACAATGCTTCTGGAAGGTGCTCTAACTAGGCTTTGGCAGATTTCCAAGAAGCAGCCAGAGTTTCTGAACCAGTTCTGCTAAAAAGGAGCAGCCTCCACCATTGAGAGAACTCATCTTGCTATTTCTACTGCTCCTCTCAACATATGTGCAGAGAGAGATGAGGGCATGGCATCTTTGTTCTCTGTCCTTGTGCAAATAGCAACAAAAATATGACCACTCCATAGGGAACTGTGACCCAGCAGTTTGGGAGGGCGGGATATAAATAAAATAAAATAAATAAATGAATATAATCCACCAAAGGGTCCCAACTGTACTAGATGAGCCACTGAGGTAGAGGATGTAGAAAGCAACAAGGCCAAAAATAGGCAGTGTGTTTTGACAGTGGTAGAATAACACCGTCGTTACCCCTATGAACAGATGAAGCTGCCTCAGACCTTTGGTCCATCAAAGTCAGTATTGTCTACTCAGACTGGCTGTGGCTCTCCAGGGTCTCAGACTGAGGCCTTTCACATCACCTACTATCCATTCTGTTTAGCTGGAAATGCCAAGGATTGAACCTGGGACCTTCTGCATGCTAAGCAGATGCTCTACCAGTGAGCCAAGGCCCCTGTATAAATCGATCGTACGTCCTCATTTGGAGTACTATGTACAGTTCTGGTCACCACACCTCAAAAAGGACATTATAGCCAGGGGTCATTTCGTAGAAAAAGAGCTAGGGGAACTCATTAGCATAACTCATTAGCATATGCCACACCCCCTGACATCAGGGGCCCGGCGGTGGACCTGCAAGGCCAGCGGGAGTGCGAGGAAGCCCTGCCAAGGCCCTCCCTGGCCCCAGGCAGGCAGGGGTGGGGAGAGGCAGGGAGGAAGCAACTTACCCTCCCTCTTCTCCTGCCTCCTCCTGGCTGAATGAGGGCCGGAAGCGGGGCGGCCGGAAGCAGGGGGCGGGGCTTCGTCATGTGCCCCGCCCCCTGCACCTCACCCGGGGGAACTGCGTTCCCCCCCGAAATGACCTCTGATTATAGCATTGGAAAAAGTGCAGAAAAGGGCAACTAGAATGATAAAAGGGTTGGAACACTTTCCCTATGAAGAAAGGTTAAAGCGGTTGGGGCTCTTAAATTGCTGAGCAGTCCGGTTAGAACAGATAAAAGGAAATACTTCTTCACCCAAAGAGTGATTGACACATGGAATTCACTGTCACAGGAGGTGGCGGGGGCTACAAGCATGGACAGCTTAAAGAGGGAACTGGATAAACATATAGAGCAGAGGTCCATCAGTGGCTATTAGCCACAAGGTATAGATAGGAACTCACAGGCTGGGGCAGGTGATGCACTGTCTTCTTGGTGCTTGGGGGGGGGCAACAGTGGGATGGCTTCTAGTGTCCTGGCCCCACTGCTGGACCTCCTGTTGGCACCTGGTATTTTTGGCCACTGTGTGACAGAGTGTTGGACTAGATGGGCCATTGGCGTGATCCAACATTGGCTTCTCTTATGTTCTTATGTTCTCCCCTGTGGATACTCTTCCCACAGTCATCTCTATTTCCAGGTTTTAGAGTGCTTAGAAAACCTACAAAATCTGTTTCACCCATGATGATGAAGTGGAAAAGTAAATATACATGTACTCTAGGGCAATAATGCCTCTAGCATACTAGCTTCTTATATTGTCTGCCTCTGGCCTTATACTGATTGGTTCTAAAGGTCCTTCATGCAAACATTCCCTGGGTACAGTCTCCCATAGACAAGTGAATTGTGTGAATTAGGTGCTCATGGATATGTTCAACAACATTTTCAATGAGTACAGCAGC